CTGATATTAGCCAGTTCGCGCACCCCGTTCACATACGCCAACAGTCTGGATCAAAAAGTTGTTCGATGGATGATCTTTATAACTTTTGGAAAACGTAACCTTTTCCATTAAAAAAAGGAATTTTATAATAGCGTTGACACCTCGTACACTAAGTACTGACTCCTTTTGAAATGGCGCTGACAATTTCTCTCTCTCTTTTGAACGACCTCTCTCTCTTCCTCTTCTCTCTCTCCATTCATTTTCCCAAAAAGAAGCTCTTCTCTCTCTCTCTGTTCTAACAGAAAACACAGCTGGGGTTTCTCCTGCGCCATTCATTTTCTCTCTCCTCTCTGGTTTTCTTCCTCTTTCTCTTCCCTTTGCCAAACCTCTCCTCCCTAGTTAGCCCCTCTCGTGCACCCTGCCTATGGTTCCCTGTGCCAAGCGCCTCTCATTCTCTCTGCCACTCTTGCTGCTGCGCACACCCTCTCTGCCTCTCGCTCCCCTAATCGCTCAGATCATCCCATCGTCTTCCATGTCCAAAGGCTCGTCCCTCAAGTTCCCCATTGATAGGTGCTTTATCTCACGCAGGTACTCTATCTCTATGTATTTGACTCATACAATCTCTGAGTTCTCAATTTCCATCACTGATTTGGGGGGAGTTTGGGTTTTTTTGTGGAATCCCAAACAATTTTGGTAGAATCCACCAAGATTTTTATTCTCTCTTTATCTGATTTTTAGGGTATACTTGTACAGATGGGGTTGTTAACCTTTGTATTTAATGGTTTGGAGAGTCTTATGATGATTTTGGTTTGCACAATTAAATCTAAGTCATAATATTTATTATTGTTTTTAACATGACTCATATTATGCAAAGTTTGTTGGAAATGCAAAATCCTTTTAGCTAATGTGAATTGTAATTATATTGCCACTATGTTCACCACAAATATGCAGTTTGCTTCTTTAGTTAACTCATTCGTTTTTTTTTTTATGGAATACTTTTTATAGAATCCCAATAAACTCTTTTTTTTTTATGTATTATCTAATTATGAAACTCTTAATATTCAATTTCATTGAATTTGACAAGAACACAAATTGTTTTTCCTTCTTCCTGATGAATTAAAATTATATCTATTAGGTTTGTTCCCATTGTTAACCATCTCAAATAAATGGATTAAGAATGTTTGTAATGATTTTTTTAATATATTCGTTATGACTTCTTTATAGAATGGATCTTGACAACCAATTCCCTCCAAAGATTTGTAAATGCAAACCAGGATGTGGTCGGATGCGTGTGTTTATTGTAAAGACACATGATAACAACAATAGGCATTCTATAAATGCTCTAATTGGAAGATATGTGATTTATTCATTGATATAATGTAGAAGTATATTGGTATTCATTTGTAAGCATATATCTAACACACATTTATCTTATGATATTAACCACCAGAATGAGACTGGATGTGGCTATCTAGAGTGGTGTGATGAAATTCTAGGTGAAGATAGGAAACCTATGGGTCGAAGGTTCGTGTCTCAAAGGCCATATGCTTGTGTGGCTGATGGAGTAGATGCATCTTTATCTGAAAAAGAGAAGTGCAAATCTGTTGCTATGGTCCATGGGAAAGTAGGCCTTCAAAAAATTATTCTCATATGTATAATTTTATTTATGATATTGATGTTTGCTCTCCTATTTTTTGTAAAAGGAATGGGTATATGTTTTATGGTATCCATATAATTGTATACATTTATTCGTTCTCTATCTTCTATGGAAGAACAATGTTCAATTTAGTTTATCTGCACATTAATGTAATTTGGAACTATCTTAATCTTTCTTTCTCTCTCTCTGTCTCAAGCATCAGATATTTTTAAGTAGTTTGGATCTCTTTTTCAAGCATCCGATATTCTTAAGTGGTTTAAATCTCTCTCTCTCTCTCTCTCTCTCTCTCTCAAGAATCAAATATTCTTAAGTGGTTTGAATGGTGAAAGTATCAATAGACCTACAAAGTGACAATGAACATTATTCGGTGATACCACACAAGCAATGCCTTGTTTTGAGAAACTTTGACATGGCTTCACCTAACAAATTACCAAGTCCCTTTTCATTAACTTCAAGTCTCCCTGGTGAGAACCAAGGAGTCCCAGATTAAACATACCTTCACTTTCAAACAAGGTTGAGTGTTCCCACAAAAGATTTACTTCAATAGCGATGAGTGTATGTTGCCGCCATCATTTACATATCCCTTACTTCCACGATTTGCTTATTGCTTATTTTTGGATACTTGTTTTCATTATTTATTTGTCGCTTTGGTGGGGTATAGAGTTTGGGATTGTCACAACTGCTCGGGCCTGAGTTCATGTACAAAGTTTTGAGAGCGAGAGAGAGAGAGCGAGGGAGAGAGAGAGATTCTAGGCTAGATCTCAGCTAGTGGAGTGTTGCTTCTTCTAAAACATTATATTACGAATGTATTGATCAAGCAATTGGGGTGGTAAAATGTTTACTCCAAATTGTCCACACAAACGCGCATTTAAGCCCTAGCTTAACAGTAAGAGTGATGTTCTCTCAAAAGTATAATTCAAGTGAGTGCATATTGGTTCCACAACTTTTGTGATTACAGCATGTGTATAAGACTGAAAAAACACTCCCAAATGTCCAAATTGTCCACAAAAAAGAAAAAAAAAAAGAAAAAGCATGTGCATAAAGCTCTCACACACACACACACACGCTCACGTGTGGGCAAACACACATCTTCCATTATAATTCAACCAGAAAAGCAATGTTGGTTTTAAAGGTACCAAGTGATGAATGTGCACAGAATGTTTTTCAAGGAAAATAATTTGTACATCAATAGCATTCTCTCCAATACATTGAAAATAGCCAATAACATTTATAGTATCTTATCATATGCCACTCAATTATGAGGTGCAGTTACAGTCTAGGTGGGGATAAACAAAAACCATTATACATAATTTCAAAACAACTTATAACATTTAAAGCATCTTCATATATGAGAAAGCTTGAGCAAGTTTTCATAGGTTCCCATAATACATTTAGAAGCTTTCCATTTCAGCGGAGCCTTTCCAGAGTCAAGTTTTTATTTCCTCCACAATTTGCTAATGTTGTTTGCATGTGGCTCTCTAGAAACCCCATCTCCACCAACTTT